AGTCCATGCATGACTCAAAAATCCTCTGCATGTAAGGAGATCTGAAGGGACTCGACGAGTCCTTTGAGTGGACTCGGCGAGTAGCATGAAGTTTTGGAGAAACTCGACGAGTGGGATGAACAACTCGTCGAGTCGTATGAAGATTGCCTTGGACTCGGCGAGTCTGTTCTTGGACTCGGCGAGTCAGGTCGCAAAACCCCAAACCCTTCGAGTTGTGACTCGAATCAGTGAGTCGAGTGGAGACTCAGTGAGTTGAACAGGTCTGGACTCAGAAATCAGTGGACTCGGCGAGTCATGGACTGAATCGGCGAGTCGAGTCGTGAATGAAAGGAATCTGATCATTTTGAACTCGGCGAGTCAGTAGGGTGACTCGGCAAATAGGGTTGACCTGGAAGGTTGACTTTGGACCAGGGTGGACTTGATTGCCTTTCGGGGGTCAGTTAGACTCAGTGTTGCATTGATATTGGTAGCTTGAGGAGCTAGTGGAGCAGCAGTTCGGAGTCAGAGGTCAAGTAGCAGTCAAGAGGATTAGCAGCATCAGTTCAGCAGTCTCAGGTGAGTTTCCTTCCAGTAGGGACGGGTCTAAGGCCATAATGCCGGCCCGTCCAGTTGGCAGTAGTTTCCGGACTTCGGCCCGATGCAGTAGTTAGTATGTTTGATGCCTTCGTGGCTCAGACAGGATTTATGTGCTATGTTTTATGTGTTATGTGTTATGTGTTCCGGGCTACGGCCCGATGTAGTATGCAGTATATGTGTTCATGCTAGTTGATATGTTATGCTATGCTATGTTCAGTCAGTTAGCCTGGACTTCGGTCCGATGTAGGGGACAAGGTCCCAGTCAGTTTCTGGACTTCGGTCCGATGCAGGGGGCAAGGCCCCAGTTAGCCCGGACTTCGGTCCGATGCAGGGGACAAGGTCCCAGTCAGTTTCCGGACTTCGGTCCGATGCAGGGGGCAAGGCCCTAGTTAGTCCGGACTTCGGTCCGATGCAGGGGACAAGGTCCCAGTCAGTTTCCGGACTTCGGTCCGATGCAGGGGGCAAGGCCCTAGTTAGTCCGGACTTCGGTCCGATGCAGGGGACAAGGTCCCAGTCAGTTTCCGGACTTCGGTCCGATGTAGGGGGCAAGGCCCCAGTTAGTCCGGACATTGGTCCGATGCAGTGGGCAAGGCCCAGTATGTGCTTTATATGTTTTTGTATGGTATGTGTTAGATTGGGGGAGCTCACTAAGCTTCGTTCTTACGGTTTTCAGTTTTGGTTTCAGGTACCCAGTTTTCAAAAGAGGAGTTCGGGGAGATTGCAGTGCACACACCGTAGTCAGTTAGCCTGGGAATGTTCGACTCTGATAATGATATTATGTTTTGAATTAATACTCGAGAATTTATGTTATGACTTATGATACAGTTTTTATAAATATGATTCTAGTAATGCTTTTAAAGAAATTTTTGGTCGTGATTTTTGGGTCGTTACATATAAATAGGACCCAAGATACTCGAATTTTGTTCATACCTTTACCTAAAAGCTTAGGATCGAAATTTCTATCACTCTCATCTCTTTCCCCTTCATTCTAGGGTGTATAGGGTTTTGATTGTGAACCATTACAGGCATCATACTTTTGGTGCTTGCTTCCTAAAGACATAAAGGAAATGATCAAAGATTTATTTTCTATAATAAAACTAAAGGTATGTAAACCCTAATTCATGAATTTTGAATTTCATAGAGATCCTTTAGGTTTCTTGAAGTTAATAGTATGTTGTTATCAATTAGAGAAACATAGATCATTTATAGGTTGCATGTGAACTTAAGTGTTAAGATTTTACGTTTTACATGTTTTTGATAACCTATAAAATCCATCAAATAGGACGTTGAACTTTTTTGTTCGGTTTCATAGGTACAAAATGACGTCGCCACTTTAATCAACTTGATATGTATCCCAAGTAAACAATCTATCAACCCTAAAAAACTAGTATCAACATTTTGACAGTGTCGATTAAAAGTGTTAAAATCCTAAATTCAAATCAACTATCATCGATTGAAATGTGCAATCGTTAATTGAAATCAACTATCTTCAATTGAAGATGTGCAATCATCAATTGAAATTAGCTATTAGAAATTGTAATCGGAGTATAGTCGATGACGTAGATTCACATATCGGTTTGGTGTAATTAGAAATTAGTATCATCATATAAAAAATCAGAGCAATTAAATAAGATAAGTAGAAGATCATGAAGTAATTAGAACTATTGGTCAATCAAGCGATCATATCACCATCTAAATCAATAGAACCGGTGATGTTAGAAGTAGATGGCATCACGATTCATAAAGAGACTCGTAGATTAGAATCGTGAATTAAGAACATGAGGTAAATTGCTTTAGTGGCTGGATGGCTGAGAAGGACTGTCACTCGGAGGTCGAGATTGTAGCTGGAGAATCCCTTGTGTTTTCTTAGCAACAAACAATCGTCACACCCTTTACTTCCACTCATCTTTGTTCGAAATTTAGCTTAATGTTTGAAGGTGGTTGTTGATTTTGTTTATACATATGGTGAGTTCGAAGGTGGTAATTGGTGGTGATGTTCTCGGTATTTCTCGGTGGCATAAAGCTCGATGGTTTAAACAAGAAATGCAATTAGTGTTTATAACTGTGAATACTGTGATAGTGGTCGGCTAAGGAAAATAGTTTCATAGCAGGGGGATGCTTACGATTGTTTGTGTTGGATTAGTGTCTAAGTCCATAACTATTTTGGTATGTACTTGACCCGATGGTGCATGGTCCTTTTGGGTTGCCTTCACCAAAGAAACTTGATAGGATGAATTATGAAGAGAAAGGATTTATTATGATTTATTAATATATTATGAGAATAATATATTAAAGGAGAAATCATATTGTTTAATTAATATTAGTTAATAAGTAATTGATAATTAATTTTGTGGCTAAAAGAGATTAATTAAACTTAAGGGACTGGAACTGTAATTATAAGATAATTTCATTTGAGCTGTGGATCACCTTGGAATAATAGGTTGGGCTAATTTTATGGGGAAACCCATTAGAAATCGTCCAAGGGATATTCTAAAAGGGTCCATGGGCTGCTTAGGGCTTAAGCAGTCAAATTAGGGTTTCCTAGTTGAAAACCCTAATAGCCTACATGTATATATAGTACCCTTAAGCCCCAAAAACGTGGATAAGAGTTCCACTAGGGTTTATGGACGTTTTTGAGCAGCCTCCTATCTCCTTATTCTTCATCCTCTTGCTCTTGGTGTTTGTGAGCCATTAGAGGAGTGACACTTGTGACTCAAATCTTTTTAAAGCCATTACAAGGAGGATTTGAGATTGTTATTGCTACATAACAATCAAGGTAAGATCTAAACCCCATTCTTATGTTAATATGATTAATAGTATGCTAGATCCAGGGTTTAAAGTCTTGGATGAATTGCATGTACAATAGTGAAACCTAGATCCAACATTAGGGTTTGTATGAGCACATAGGATGTTCTTATGGTTAAAACCCATCAGTTTGTAGGTGCAAAAAAAGGTGCTTGATATGGTATCAGGGTGTGTGACAATGGATGATGAAGACGGTGGTTGAAGGTAGATGGCAGGTGGTATAAGGGTGGTCGAAGGTAGTGGTGATGATGGTAACTGATTTTCAATGGGATAGCAAGGCCACACCCCCGATGCATTTTGAGTTTGTTTTTCGTCATTCAACGCATTCTTAGTTAGGAGGCGATGGCAATGGCAAAATTCAAACAACATCATGATCAGTACCATACTTGATCAGAAATAAGAATAAAGAAAGGAAAGTTTCAACAACCATGGCTCGGATGCTTAGGGATTTCTTGTTATAGATTTACAATTAAAGGGAGCTTCAATTCATGGCTAGTAAGCGGTAAAACCAGGTAAAAAACACATTGCTTGTATAATTAATAGGTCAAATATAAGTTTAATGACCAAGACAACTAAAAAAAAATACATAAATGGTCTTTTAAACAAAAATTTCAATAGTTGGTTGGGTTAAAATGACATTATACCAAAAAATAAATATTTACTTAACATTTTAATTTCTATTATTGTAATTACTAATACATGAAACATTGTTTTTGTTTAAAGGTAACAATATAATTTTTTATATGATGTTATTTTTAACTATTGTTGTTGTAAGTTATTTTTAAGCTACTTATTTGAAAACTCTTAATGATTATAAAAATAGTTTTAAAGATTTTTTCTAACTAATTTGAGATTATAATTTTGGTTTTGCATTTAATATTATAGTTGATAACTTTCAACTATTTACAATATATCATTTTGATTTTCTTTTAAGTTCAATTAAAATTTCGATTTTTTAAGTTAACCTTTTAATATTTTATATTTCAATTAATAATTTAAGCATTTTATGTAAATTGTTAAAAAAAATTATGATTGTAAATAACAATGGTTTCATACAACATATTCAAATTAATAAGTTAAGTATAACATATTAAAAGATACAGACATAATTTTATAAATAAAAGTAAGAAAATGTTAGTTTTATGTTGATGATTAGTTAACTTAGAATTACAATTTAGGTTTTGTATTTATTTAATATTATTAACAAATTTATAATCATTATTTAAAAAAAAAAACTGAAATATCATGGAAAGTTTCAAATGTTTATATATTCTATTGCATAGTATATATATATATATATATATATATATATATATATATATATATATATATATATATATATATATATATATATATATATAAAAGGAGACGGTATAGTATAGTATAGATACATAAACAAATAGATGTGTAAAAGAGTCTCTTTGCATCCACTAATGCTTGAAAGTATTCGACAACCAAAAGAATATATATTCAAACAAATAACAAGAATATATATTCAAACAAATAACGTTAAAACATTTTCATATAAAAAAACAGATCAACTACATGATCGTTAAGTTAAATATGATCAACATAACCAAATGTTGAAAAAAGTTCATCAATTGTTATATACAATTGATCATATACATACTTCTATCACACACAACTTCATAGTCACAATATAATTAGAATAAGTCATAGTGAACACTCAATATACGGGCCAGTGGCATAGATTAACACTTCATAGGAGTCATTAATTAATACTGGTAAAGTGCTTAAATTAAGTCTTAGCTTGAACCAGCGGCGATTGAGGGAATGGTGAATGAGGGGACATAGGCGACATCAAAGTTTTTTCATCATATAATATTCGTGAGGAGAAACTAAGACGAAGATTCTTCTGCCATACTTTATTTTTCTTGTTCTTCATTGCCATCACCTCATTCTCTTTCCCCTTTCTAACAAAAGCATGGATCCTTTCAAGTGCAATCTCAACCGTTAGATCATCCATATTTGCAAAGCAAACCCTAAACCATCCTGCTTCCTCGCAATGGAATGAAGAACCAGGGGAAACGTTGAGTTTAACATCGTTGATAATTAGTCTCCATAACACCATTTCCTCATCAAACGTTGGCTCCTTCAAGAGCCTACGTAAATCCATCCAGACAAAAAGGCCAGCGTTACTGGGTAAGCAAGTAATCCCATCTTGTTCAAGCCCTTGAGTGAAAACTTTATGTCGCTTACTTAATCTCCTTGAATTTTCTGTTAGAAAATCCTCAACAAATGCTTCGTCAGAAAGAAGTGAAGCTAGAAAATGTTGAGTCTGTGAAGAGATCAATCCAAAACTCGACATTTTTCTTGCAGAACTCACAACTCCATCATTATATGAATATAGAATCCCAACACGAAACCCTGGGAGTCCCATGTCTTTTGACAAGCTATAAATAATGTGAACTAACTCTGGATTTATCAACACAGTTGGATCGTGTTCCATTTCTTGTAAGACCTCTGAGATAGAGATGAAATCGGGTGTATCAAAGACAGTGGCTGCATAAATTTCATCACAGACAAGATGGATTTTCTTTTCATTGATGAATCTCAATAGGGTTTTGAGGGTTTCTTTATCCATGGTTGTGCCAAGAGGATTTGAAGGATTTGCGATGATCAAGCCTTTGACTTTGATGTTGGCTTCAATTGCATTTTCATAAGCGGATTCAAGTGCTTCTTGGGTGATCTGGAAATCATTTGAACTCTTGCATATTATTGGAACTATTTGCGCCCCAGTTCTCCATCTTAGGTCTCGATCAAATCTGAAAGAAAAAAAAATGGAACCAAATAATTGGTTCAATCAATAATTAATTTATAATCATGACAACTAAATATTAAATTTGTCATTTCAAAGCTAAGAACTAATAATTATTATAGAACTGATGTGACATCTTTAAATGAATATGATGCAAAAGACAGCATTATTTAAATTTACTTCTTTTGCCCAATAAAGAAAAGCAAAGCCGTATGTAAGCGACATTTTCTTTCATTACTTCAAAGACTTGGAGACTACGCTCACGTTATAATAAATATCATAAAACATATAAAGCTAAATGACAAATAGTAAAGACTACCAAACAACGGTGTGACAGTCTAAAAGTCAAAATTGTTATACATATATTTTATAATAATACGAGTGCCTTAAACTGTTAAAGTCAAAGGATTGACTGATTTGAATATATAGGTTCTTTTAGGATTTCTTTGTTCCCTATGTTTCATTTTGGAGCCTTGACATATTTTTTTTTTCTTAATAATCTATCATTTGACTATTTTGTCAAATTTAATGGTTTAGTCATTCTTTATTTTATTTTTATTTTTGTAAATTAATTCTAAAGTTGATTTTGACCAAGTCAATGGACAAGTGGCGTTGACTAGTTGGTCTAATCTAATATGGTAAACCAAATTGTCAATCCCTCTTAATAAGATTTGATTTAAGTAGCAAAGTTTTATCCAAATTTGTGCACATGACATGGATTGTTGTTATTATGCGTATATATCTAACCTTTCGTTTTCAGATATACGTGATATCTCGATGCGTAAGTACGTATCTTATTAAAAGAAACTTGTCTTTTCCGTATTCATTGTTGATAGTTTATATATACAAAACTGACAAAAATCAATCCTATATATCGTCATAAACTATACATGGAGTTTTATTAAACTCTATAAAAATGTTAACAACGACAAATCTTTTATTTAAAACGTTTTTTTTTCGTTGATATGCTGTTTAGGAAGCCTTATGATTATCAATATATGTATTATACTATTATTCGGCATCACAATTTTATCATATAAATCAACATTTTAGGGAAAAAAAAAAAGTACAAATTAACACCTCAGTAGAATATATATATATACTTACGCCGGATAATATGGAGTTGGAACAAGAAATCCATCATCACGATCTGCCAAACAGAACATTAAAGATTCACTTGCTCCTGTAGCTCCACCACCCATCACAATGCGATCAGGATCAAACTTAACCCTATTTCCTCTTACTCTTCCCATAAAATCCGCTATTGCCTGGAAAACAAACAACTTTTATAAATTTTTGAAGCACCTTCATATATTACATTATAAGTATATAATGCAACAAAAAATTTCGAATGTAGTAAACTTTATGTATTTCATAATGATTACCTTCCGAAAGTCGTATAAGCCATGATAGTCTTGAAAATTAGCAATATCCTTAAAACTGTCAGCGCCATCTTTGGTACAAATTGATGCTTTCGGATTCTTTGCAATCCATTTCTGAATTAAATCAGGAGAAAGCTGCAAGAATAATGGAATTAGTTTCTAGCTTCAAATGGAGTTCTCTTTTAAGTCGTTCGAAAAAAAGATATATATACTTTTGTCATGCATTCAAAATAATTATAAAGAAAACAAACCTGGTTTTCTGCTAAACCCATTTGTATGACACCATTAGGGTTTTCAGTAGGATGAAATGGATCTAGATCGTAAGCTTTCCATCCATCAAAATATGGTGAATTCTCACCATGTTGATCATTTGTTGCAATCTTTGACAGAAGGGTTTGGTTTCTGCTCGAGAATACCATAGCTAGTGTGTGTCTTTCTGTGTGTGAAAGGAAGAAGATATGGAGTGCTTTTCGAGGTAATTTTTCAAGATACTATGCGTGGTTTCACACAAGATGATGGAGAAAATACACGAGATGATCAGGTATATATAGGCCTAGGGATGCAGCATTCATAGAGTTGTATGTGTGACTTAACGTAGTTACGTGTATTTTAGTGTAGAAAATAGAATTTAGAGAAAGAAGAGATTCAACTTTTCAAAGTGAGTCCATCGTAATTGCGTGCGTGAGCGAATAACATATAACCCAAAAATGGCAATTAAAATCAATACATAATCATGCTTTTTGAATTAATAATGTAGTCATCTATATAAAACGTTAACTATTATTATTATATTATATTATATAGACAACGCTTTAACTTTTATCGACAACGTTTGTATTTTACATTTTCATATTGACTATGTATTTATTCAAGTACTAAACTTATTAAAAAATAACATTGTTTGCCTCCAAAACGTATTTTTAAAACATTTTTTAAATAATTTAATTAAGAGTGCAACATCTTTCTCAAATTATCAGTACAACCAAAATTGTTGCCGTTTCTTTGTAATATTCTTTTGGAAATAGTTTTTTTTTGTTAACTACTCTAAAATTTAAAGGTAGAGAATTTTATGCTAAATAATGAATGAATTTCTATAATTATAAGTGAAATGCATTTTTTAATAGTGGGAACATAATATAGAAAGTATGGATGATGCTTTGTGGGGTTGTAATTCATGACTTAGAATTGTCGGAATTAATGTACAAGTGGGCAGCTGGGTCTAGTCTTGGATTCGTTGCTTGTTAGCTCTCTTTCCCCGTTTCTTTCCGCCCCCAGATGGCCAGACACAAGTCAAACACCACATCCGACATCCGTCAAAACCTATAATATTTTATAATTTTTACAATTCAATTCAATATAATTTTTATATTTATTTTTTATAATGCTTATATATCTATTTATATTTTAATATTTTATTTTATTATACTTTTCTCATTTTGTATATCGGTCAATTTTAAACAAAATATATAAACATGTTTGGTTATGTTTTATTATGATGACATTTTAACCGGTATGTTGATTACTCATGGGAAGGTACCAATTAAATATTTAACTGGCACCAATGTCCAACGGTTTAATTTGTTATACAATTGATATAACAGTTTTCTATAGTGTTTTAGGTTTTCATCAATTTATGAACCTGACAAATATTATAGAATCGTGATATTATATGTACCTTTCATTTATATAAATCGTAAAACATTATTACACTCACATGGAGATGGGGTACCTATAGAATTTCCCTTGAACTATTGTTTTTTTGTCTTGCAAAGAAACATGTTTGCATACCTGTATATTTTTTATAATTTTTTTATTATATATGAAAAATGTAAAATTTTGTTTCATATATAACCATTTAACCTATTTGTAGGTTACTTTGTAAAATAAATACAAATAAGATGAAATGAATAGCTCAGCATAGAGCAATGGTACTTTATTATATACAGTTATTTATATCATATACCAATATTAGTTGTATGTCAACTAATTTAGATGCAAAGTAAAATAGAAATAAATTAATTAAATAAATTCATTTCCTATGAAAATATGATATTTCTGGATAACAGACTCGAGTGAATAATATATGCTCTTTTTTCTTCGTCGTCTTGGTTAAAATAAAAAAAAAAATAATAAAACAAAATAAAATTGGAAGGTTCAAATATATTTTCCAATGTATAAAGAGAATTAATGGTATCAAATATTAAACAAAAGAATGAATCAATATTAACCAAAAGGAAGCAAATATTCTCATTTTCTTCTTTCTACTTTTCCATTACATCACATGCATGCACACAAAGATTTTTGTTAAAAGTCTAAAAGCGAACATGGCATCTAAAATTGAAATGGATGATTTAGTGAGTTAATTCTAACATAATGTGAAAAATCTATTAGTAAAGGTAGAAATGTAAAGATGTTGATAGTTTGTGTTGATAAAATAAACGGGTTCTATTAGTATTAGCTGAAAAGTAAATTGATAATAAATGACCTTTGGTAAATAAGTTAAAAAGATAACTGAATATATAAAATTACATAAAATAGCATTTTAAGAGTATTTGTTTTTATAATTAATTATGAAGTATATTTGGAAATTTTAAAAAAGAAATCGTAAAAAGCTAGTCTAAGTAGTTTCTAAAAATTCTAGCTTATAAGCTATTTTTTGTCTTACCAAACACGACAACATAAAAATAAACTTGAAAAATAAGATAGTTGTGGCGTACCAAACGTAGCCTTAAACTAGCTTTTTAGGAGTTTTTTAAAAAATTTCAAATATACCACTTAATTTATTATAAAAACATATTCTTTTAAATGTCCTTTTATATCATTTCACATTTTCAGCTAGTTATACCAAACGTTATTTTTTTATAAGCTAGCTTTTCATCTGTCAACTAGTTTTTGATTTAACAACTAATTTTTCAGCTATCAGCTAATTTTTCAACTGAGAGCTAACTTTTCATCTGATACGCCAAACATAGTATAAAGACTTGAAATGGAAGCAGTAGGGACCGAACTTAAAGTTCTCCAAGTATATAAACAACAGAGACGGTGATTCTCTCTCGTTAATCCAAAACAACAACATACTTATGCTCTTTAATCAAACAAAAACATGTTTTTATTTTTAAAATAAAAACAAAAATTATTTTAAACAAACATAGAAACATATTTTTTTAACCTAAAACAACAATATATCTATATTTTAAACAATGCAAAAATGTAAATTTATTTTTAACCCGAAAACAATATTGTTACGGAAATGCTTCACGAGGTTGAGAGTTGAAGTCTTGCTTAGTACATATGAGACATTAAAGATAAAAGATGAGTAGATTAAATTTGTTTTAAAAAAAAAACAAAAATCAAACAAAACTTCTCTTTAGAAAAAACAAATGTATTATTATTTTTAATCCAAAATAACAAGATACATATATTTTTAATATTTTTAGTCTAAAACAAAATGTCGTACATTTACTTTACACAAAACAACTTTCATATTTTAAAATCAAATCAACAATATATATATATATATATATATATATATATATATATATATATATATATATATATATATATATAGAGAGAGAGAGAGATAGAATATTCCAGTTCTCTGTCCTTAATCATTTGCATTACGTTGATATATTACTTGTGTGTCTATATATATATATATATATATATATATATATATATATATATATATATATATATATATATATATATATATATATATATATATATATATATATAGTTAGGTTATTTTGTTTTTACTAACTATTGTGTGCCAAAATGCACAGATCTAGACCATCGGATGGAATATAATCAAAGGTCATGATCTGAGGGTTTATGATAGTATAATATGATAACATGTACCGTATAATCACACAAATTTCAACATAAAGGCATTTTAGTCAATTAACCTATATTAAAAATGAAATTTTCGGATTTTTAGGAATGATTAATTCCTATATTTTTTAAAAATTTAAATATTTTAAATTAATTCAAATTTAAAAATCTGATTTTATTCTGTCAGAATGATAGAATGCATACCATAAACTAGTAAATATATTTTTCGATTTTATTCTGTCAGAATGGAAGAATACCACCCATAAACTAGTAAATACATTCTGAAAGAATACAAAAATCAATTCTTGAACTAATAATATAACAATAATTACATTGTATGATTGTGATTCATTGAATAATAAATAATAACAACATTCTGAAAGAAAAAAATAAAAATAAAAACATCAAAATCTAACAAAAATACTAATTTATCCTGAAAGAATATTATTTTTAAGCAACACTTTATACATTGTAGCATAACACATTCTGGTATAATATACTCTCGTTCTATATGTTTTCTTCCTTTTCCACATCAATGTTAGCTTCTTCAAAACCTAAATCCACAAAGAAAAGATAATCAATTTTCAAAAATTAAACAATTCAATGTATTATAATAGCATACAACAATAAATATTCTTACAGAATAAACTATTCTTGCAGAATGGTTTTGAATATTCTTAAAGAATTTGTAACATATTCTATCGGAAACGATATAATAGAGAATGGTAATTACCGGATTTAATTTGAAGAAGAATTCCAAAGCCAGGGTAGATAAGAGCACGGGACTTGAACCCAATGATCTTCCTTCCCGTTTTAAGCTTACAATTCTGGGTTGCTAGTGGTTTTTTCATTGAAGCTTCCTCCAAAGGGCAAGAGGGAATATTTGATTCTTTCTAAAACATTAGATGTGTCAACATCAAAGTAAGGCTGGTAAGCAGCAACTGTGAATACCTTGAACCAACCACTACTTTGTTGTGCTTCTGATGAACCAGATACTGGCTTTGAGAATGTATCTGAAGAGAGAATATAACAAAGATTACATCTCTAATAAGTCTAACTGATAGTTGCTCATTAGTTGGTAGTTTGCTTAGAGGATTAAAAATCACATGAGTCTTGTTTTCCAATTGGTTGAGGTTTTAGATAGGTTAACTAAGTCATGATGCATTCAAATCTAGAAGAAGCTTAAAATGCTAGTAATCTAAGCCCTAAAATTGATGAAGTTTATATGGATTTTAACTATGTAGCTGAACTAAATGAGATCTATTAACTGAAGTTACTAAATTGCAGTAGATAGTTGAAAACTAATATGATGCTTCAAGAATTTAAACACACACCATCGGCATCGCGGGGAGGTCCAGAAGCGCCTGAGATCTTGCCTTGTGTTCCAGATGGGGGAAAGGTTTGGAGAGTTGAATCTGCAACAACCAACAATCAAATTACTTAATGCTTACAATATAATCCAGCTACCACCGAATAAATTAGGGTTTAGATCTAGTATCAAAGTAATGAAAACGCAATTGAAGAAGAGGAGAAGAAGTTTTACAAGAACAGATCCATAAACATTCTGGTTGTCAATGGTTGTGTAATTTTCGGACATCATCTTGAATTCCCCTGTATCAAAAGTATGGTACCGATCCGGAGAGTATTTCTTCTTTGTTTCTGGATCTCTTGTCGGGTCTGAGCTCTCATATCTTAACCCTAACTCGTCTTCTCTCTAGCCGCCACCATCCATTCGGAGTTTACCCAGCCGCCATCT